GGCACCGTTGTAGGAATCAGTTCACTTAGTGTTGACCCAAACCACCCGTAGTATCCGACTCCATAGTCTCTCTAACATCACCAATTTACGAAAAGAAACAACTCGATCTATATACAACAAAACATTCCTAAACAAATAAATAAGTATCAAACACCGGGTGACCAAAATGTAGGAAAATTTGTTCAATAATTGAACCGGTTACCCATCCAAGATAATCGTGGCTTGGAATCTGCTTGGGATTCTTTCTTTTTTTTGTGTTTTTTTTTTTGTTTTTTTCTTTGTTTTTTTTTTGTTTTTTTCTTTGTTTTTTTTTTTAAGAAAACTTCTTGACTCAAAATTTGGTTCCCAAAAGTATGTACGTGGAACCGAGAGGGTAATAATATAATCCGAATGGCCTAAATGTGAAAATGACCATGTGTGGAGCATAAAGATGTAAGCTCCATTTTAAACTTGCGATTTTTCAAAAATAACAAAAATGTCAAAATGTGGACTAAAATTCTCTCTAAAATCCTAAGAAAATCGCAAAAAAAAAATATGGTGATGCAAGGAGACCGGATATAGATTCTACTCGGAGACAAGCACTAGTGCTTCATCCTAATAGTTCAAACATGTCCAAGTGTGATCCTCTCGGCGGTGTTGACCGCAGGGCTAAAAACATCTATTGCTATAGTATATCCTACAGTTGTTAGTATTGCATGCATAATTCTTCATGAAAGCTACCTGGCCATGATCACTTACCCCTTTAAGCTTCCAGCATCTGATCCCAAGTATGAAGTCCCAAACTGCAGCTAGTGGTCCCGGTTCGATGGGTGAGATAGCAACAAGATCCTGGACCAATAATGATACAATAACTGTGAACCTGTTCCATGGCATCCAGGGGGGAATAAACAGATAACAAAAATGCATGAATGCTAATGCCCTAACCTAAATGTTATGCAAAAATAAAAAGTAGAAAAGAAGAAAATAAAATCTTTATGGAATTTATAAAAAAAAATGAATGTAAATTAGCTTAAAACTAAAATGTTATGCAACCTAATTAAAAAAATGCATGAAGAAGTAAAAGGAAATACCCCACCCCAAGCTTAAGAACAAGCATTGTCCTCAATGCTTAAGGTAAGGGCGGAAATGACCTAAATCGGGGGATCGGGAGGCGGGAAATGCCTGTGGCGATAGTGGTTTCGTGAAATTCCGACCGATAGAACTCCGATAATCTTGATTTTTTCGGCGAGGTGGGTATTGGAAGGTTATGTTCTTGAGAGGAATGGAGTGGGAGGTCAAGATGGTTAAATGAAGAAGAAGGGAAGCTGAACATTTTAATCTATGGGTCAACAAAGGTCAATTTCGGTCAATGTTGGTCAAGAAAAGTCAAAAGGTCAACTCATTAAAACCTTTGATCAACACCTGGTCAAATAATAGCCAAAAATAGGCCAAATTGCCCATCACAGTGCGCGGGTCGCGCAGAGTAGCACGCGGGTCGCGCAGACCTTGCAGTTAAGTCTTGGGCCAATGTCGCTTCATCACACCTGGCCGCGCAACAGCACGCGGGTTGCGCAACCCGCTGATCCTGATCTTCCTTTTTGCTTCATTTTTCTTCGTTTTTTCACCCGTTCTTGCTTTGGAAGGCCCCAAACACCTAGAAACTCTTGATTTCTTCAAAAACAACTCTTTTGAATCCCAAACACATCTTCAAAACTCATTTATTCAAATTAAAAACACGAAAGCACAATGCTTTCCAAAAATGCCCTTATTTAACGTCTTTGGCGAGACGCCTCCAAACTTCACTTTAACACATTGGGGCATCCAAATGGATGACATATTGGACATTTGAATCAAAACCTTCATAGAACGGATTTAATTGATGTCTATTAACCTTTCAAATTTGCCCCGTGTCTATATTTTTTAATTTCCACACCTCCATTGGGACTCTTTTCTTGTATTTGACTTTCTTTTTACGAGAGAACCATACCGGACTTAGACCTCTGATAATAGCAATAATCCGACCATATTCTTTCTTGTACTTGTTTAGTAAGGTGACCAAATCTTCCCTCTTTGACATGGTGGTTGAGTAGGTGACCGGTTGGGCGTCTTCTTTCTCGGGATACATATCCTTTCAAGGGTCCGACAGATTTATCGTTTCCGGATCTTGTGGTTGTTCTACCACTGAAGTAAGTTTCTCAATGGTAGTGGGTGGCTCAACCTCTCTTTCGTTAACCCGTATTACTTCCTTTACAATTTCATTGACAACATTCTGAATTTCTTCCTCCTTTCTAACAGCCACTTCCACTATTCCTTCTTCTTCCTCTTCTTCATATAACACTTTTGGGCCATCAAAACTTTTCTCATCTTTCAAAGGAATGGAACATGCGCTATGACATGGGCTCTCTTCAGATGGTAATTTGTGTTGAGCCTCCACTATACTCAATGATTGACCAATTTGTGTTATTTGTTGCTCTAAGCTTTTGAGGCTAGCTTGGGTTGTTTCCTGGAAAATTTGGGTAGAGGTGGCAATACTTTTCACGATGTCCTCTAAGGACATGCTTGGCATTTCAGCTTGTTGAGGAGGGTAAGTATAAGGTTGTTGGAACTGTGAAGTTGGTTGGTATTGGTTATTTCCCCACGCTGGGTATGGGTTTTGGTATTGATTATTTCTGCAAGGTTGGTTGTTATCCCACCATTGATCATGTTGAGGCTGATCATAACTGATGGGTTATTAGCACTACAACATTCCTATGGTGTACATGCAAACCCTAAAGCTTTGGATCTAGTTTGTCTAATGAACATGCAATAATCATCCAAAACCATAAACCCTAGATCTATCATGTGATAATCAAATAACATATGAATTACGGTTTAGATCTTACCTTGATTGTTATTTAGCAATAACAATCTCAATTCCTTCTTGTAATTGGATTCTGAAAGCTTAGTGTCACAAGTGTCACACCTCTAATGGAGTCACAAACACCATAAGCAATAAGGATGAAGAAGGAGGAAAGAGAGGACACCAAAAACGTCTAGAAACCCTAAGGAATCTCTTAGCCACGTTTTGGTGCCCTAGGGGTCCTTAAATAGTGAGGCTATTAGGGTTATCTAACAAGGAAACCCTAATTTGACTGCTTAGGCCCTAAGCAGCCCATTGACTCCCTCCTTAGAGGCCTTGGACGATTTCTAATGGGTTTCCCCATAGAATTCGTCCACTCCTCTAATATGGAGTCCGTTAGCCCAATATTCAATTATCACACAATTGATAGTTCTAGTCCCCTAAGTTTAATTAATCTCTTTTAGCCACAAAATTAATTCTTAATTAATTATTGACTAATATTAATTAAACAATATGATTTCTCCTTTAATATATTATTCTCATAATATATTAATAAATCATAATTAATCCTCTCTCTCCATAATTCATCCTATCAAGTTGCTTTGGTGAAGGCAACCCAAAAGGACCATGCACCATCGGGTCAAGTACATACCAAAATAGTTATGGACTTAGACACTAATCCAACAGTCTCCCACTTGGATAAGTCTAATAACTATTTTGTGTATGACTTCAGATCCTAATCCGCAATCGTAGCTTTCAAAAACCGTTGTCAACTCTGATCTTATCAGATACACGTCCTTTAGATAAGGGATCATATATTCCTCCATTCTAGATATCATATAGACGTGAGACATGGATTGAAATCATTCTCTCAATCTATGTGTTGTTTCCCGATTTCTGATTTACGACGACTGACTAATTGAACAAATCAAATTAGTCATGGCCCGGCCGAGCACTTTATGTTTGTCATCACTAAATCATCGAGGGGCCCACAGATATCACTTTTATTCCACCTTGGGTAAAAGGAACGGATAAACTTCGACTCAATGCTCGCTTGTATTCACTCACCGAACCACACACAACAATACGTTTTATAACACCAAGTTACTGGTGTGTTTACATATTATCAATGTGCAACCGACTCGCAAGATACAACTCACACATCTCGGTTTCAAGAATATAAGATATTATCGTCTCACTAATCACTCGTGATAAAATCCATGAAGTGATCCAAGTGAGCGTGGGTTTAATCCAATGCTCAAATCATATTCATAAGCACTCATGAACGTTGCAGCAAACCTTTGCTATGTCTAATACACTTTAGACAATCTACAACCAATTCATGACAATCTTCTTTCATAACTACTCCCAAAGTATGAGCGACTGTGGAACGTTCGAATAATCTTATTATTTAGGAATTCAAAACATGCAAAGTAAAACACAAGAATAATACTAATTTTATATGGCCCAAACCTTTTGAGTATAAATAAAACACTTTTATTTAATCACCATATTCATTACTCATTATTTGTTATTTTACTCAATTTTTCTATTTGATTTTTCTTTTAATAATTATAGGACATGCCTTTTTGCAAAATCATTTTGTTTTTATAAAATGGATATATTTGTTTAATGTAAACACATTTAATATTCAATATTCATCACTCTCCCGTCTTCCTGTTTCTGTAATTATCCGTTTTCTTTTTATGTGGCACAGGTAATTAAAATATCAAAACATTTAAACTTATTTAAAACATCATGCATGGGTTCCGTCGAGAAATATTTCGCCCACATATAAAAGATCTCATTCATCCTGGTCCCCACTCTGTTTTACGCCGTCTTCCGCTCCTCGTTAGCCACGTGTCACCTCTCACTCACTCGTGTCAATTTTTCATTGGCTATCTTTCACTTCATCAAAAATCCTTCTTACGTCATCATCCTCTACATCCGTAAATCTTCCACAACTTTACAACCCTGCATAAAATGATTAATCTACCCCTCAGTTGTGAGGTGGCGTAGAATTACTGTCAAACAATAGTCCTCGTACTAACGGCTGTATTACACTTGATCATGTACGGTTCACCTCATCTTAAATACCATGGTCCGTAATACGCACACTTATTCACCTATATCTAATTTCATATCTCTCTCTCTCTCTCTCTCTCTCTCTCTCTCTCTCTCTCTCTGGTTAACGTCAAGAACATGCCGGCGATCTTCTCCGATTAGTTCTGAAGCTAACAAAGTGATCATCGGAATATCTTTAAGCATGGAAAGTACTGATTCATCTACATCTTCACAACAACCACACCTGCCACCGGGGTTCCGCTTCCACCCCACCGATGAAGAGTTGGTGGTTCACTACCTCAAGAAAAAGGCAGCCTCCGCTCCTCTTCCGGTGGCCATCATCGCCGAAGTTGATCTCTATAAGTTTGATCCATGGGAGCTTCCAGGTATACACACACACACACATATATAAATAACAACAACATCTACTTGTGTGATCATCTTGTTATTCATGGATCTCCGTTTTACTACGATTAGGGTTTCTAAACTTTCTGTTTTCTGTGATTATAGCTAAGGCGGCTTTTGGTGAGCAAGAGTGGTATTTCTTCAGTCCTAGAGACAGAAAATATCCGAACGGAGCTCGGCCAAACAGAGCGGCGACGTCGGGGTACTGGAAAGCCACCGGAACTGATAAACCGGTATTGACGGCTGGTGGAACACAGAAAGTTGGTGTGAAGAAAGCTCTTGTTTTCTATGGAGGTAAACCACCGAAAGGTGTTAAGACGAATTGGATCATGCATGAGTATCGACTCACTGATGGTAAATCCATCTGCAAACCACCTGGCTGCGATCCTGTGAAAAATAAAGGATCTTTAAGGGTAATAATCAGTCGTCTATTCAGTTTTTTCAGTTATAATCTTATATACATGTGATCGATTACCATGGTGGTGGTTTGTTTCTTGAAAAATATTCACACTTTTAACTTTGTTGATGTAAATAATATTATGGATATAAAGAAGATTCTTTTCTGTAGCTCGATAGATAACCATGGTAGTGTTTCGTTTTCTTGGAAATGAATATTCAAACTTATAGTAATTTACAAAAAAAAAAATTATGGATATAATCAAAAAAGATTCTGATTACTGTTTGTGATGGTTTGATCGGGTTGATAAATTCGCAGTTGGATGATTGGGTTTTGTGTCGAATCTACAAGAAGAGTAATATGCAGAGACCGGTGGACAGTGACGGCGGCGGCGGTGGCAGTGATCTGACGATGAACGGGATGATGGTATCTCCACCGGCGAGTAGGTCATTCAACCACCCGGGAATAATGAAACCCACTGGAGGCTACACAGGGTATAATACAATGATGGAGAATCATGAACACACCAACGTTCTTTACGAGAACGTCATGCTAAATACCAACTCCGACGCCGACGATAATAACCACCACCACCATAACATCACCACCTCCAATCTCCTACAGACAAGGCGATTAACACTACCAGGGTTGTTCTGGAACGAAGAGGGTAATACAGGAAATTCATCATCATCGACGTCGTACACCAAGATGTTTCTGACTTCGGAGAATAACCAGGATGGAAGTCCGATGGCAGCACAACCGACTGGAACCACCGAAGAAAACAACGGGTCGATGGGGAGTTTACTTAGCCAGATACCACAAACAGTTTCAGTAGCACAGATGCATCAGCAAACAATGCTGGTGGCTCCCGGAGAAAGCATATTCCGACAACAGTTTCAGTTGCCTGACATGAATAATTGGTACTCTTGAATCGAACATATGAAAAAGATGAAATTTTTGTTAATTTTGGTAAGACAAAATGGTCTACAGTTGGTGTGAATGTGTAGCTGGTTTGCTGCCAAATTTAGGTAAGATGCCATGGATGATATATTTGCTTAAGCACTGAAAATATTAGCTAGACTTATTAGATATAAAACACAATTATGTAGAGACATATTAATTATTATGTGAAAAAATTTGCCATTATTTTGAATAAAATCATTATGAAGCTTTAGTTATCAATTAACTATATGATAATTACTTGCGATAAATCTTGATTTGTTATGGTGAAATCAGTCATATGCATTAATCTGATCAAATTGTTGTATTTACATGAATTTGGTACTTTTTGAACAGACTAGCTATAAATTTGAATCATTATATATATTTTCATGAAATCTTGTTTTATTACATTGAATCGAGTAATACTTATTGGTTATATACAGGTTCAACAAATGAACAAATCTTGAATTTATATACGGTTTGAAAAATGTTTGCATTAACTGAAGATTACATTAATTTATTGAGAAAATTAATCAATTTTACAATTTCGTTGAATATATTAATCAATTTTACAATTTCGTTGAATATATTAATGAATTATAATATAATTCCTCTATTTATTTATTACATATAGTTTCAAGAAATCTTGATTAATCCTGATTAATTTGGCCGGCTTCAATTTTATATCAATTAAAAAAAATACTTGTATTACCCAAAACCACCCACATTGTTTTTTGAGATGGTTTTCTAGTACAACCCAGTTAGTTATGCCAGAAATTATACACAGTTATATTATAAGGACATGACTGTTTTACGTGAATATAACTTTATTTTTAAGATGATTTTTACATATCCGTCCTGTTCTAACTTATGGTGACTGCAAAAACCCTAAAAGGTTACAATGGCGCTCATTATGTCTGTGGACTCTTTGTCTTCTAGAACTTCCATGTAATTTGTTACCCTTCAACAGTCCATGAAGATTATTTGAGTGAGAAAACTTGTTTTGTATCGCAATGTATAGGTGATCACATGTGCCTTTATGATCCTAACGACCGTAATTACCATATACTAACCCCCCCCCCCCCCCCCCCCCCCCCCCCCCCCCCCTATATATATATATATATATATATATATATATATATATATATATATATATATATATATATATATATATATATATATATATTCAAATGAAAACATTTTTTGGATCGAAAACATTTGAGAGCATTTTTTGGCCTATCACAATAAAAAACACGCGTGTTTGTATCTTCAAGGGTATTTTCGTAACTTTGTATATAAACGATTATATTGTCTGATTCCTTTACATGTTTGACGGAAGTTCGAGAGTAACATTTGAATTCAGAGTGATTCGATTTGATTTTTTCGCAATTCATCATAGATCTCAGTGATTTATAGGATTTTTCTTCCAAAATTATATGCTTGTTGTTCGTCGATTGTTATAGAAGAAGAAATTGCGTCAACGTCCAATAATTTTAGGTTTAACTGTTCGTTCTATCAAAAGGTAAAAATCTTCGCTTTGCACAAATTTTTTTGACGATTAAACACTGACATTTTTATTTATTTATTCTATTCTAGTAATAGAATGAGTTATTTAACGTTTTGAGTTTGAAAGGAATTAGGTTTAACATATTGTTCATCGAAAAAGTAAAGATCGTCACTTTTCAGAACTTATTTTGATCATTTATCGTTGATTCTTTCATTATAACTTCATTTATCGTTCATTCTTCATGATAACTGCATCGAAAAAGTTAGGTTTAATATATTGTACCTTATGTTGATCATTTAACGTCAGTTATTGCATTTGTTAATGTATTTATCTAGTATAAATCAAAATTGTGAAGTTTGAAGTATAAATTGAAAGTGTTGAGTTCGAAAGGAGTTAGGTTTAATATATTGTACGTTATGTTGATCATTTAACGTCGATTATTGCATTTTTTGTTGTGTTTATGTAGTATAAATCGAAATTGTTGAGTATGAAGTTAATAATCGTGAATTATGTTCGCATGAAAACCTAAATCATTCAGAAAATATTTGATTAGTATGTGTTTAAAATTTTATTATTTGAATAACATGTGATTAAATTCTTTTATTAACAGTGTATGATTAGCAATTAAAGAAAAGATAAGATATGATTGATATCTGTTATGTAAACTATAATACTCAACATAAACTATATGTGATTGATATCATTGATATCTGTTATAAACTATAAATGTTTTATTAACATTGATAAAATCATATGTTATTGATATATGTTATAAAATATAATACAATGCCTTAAAACACACATTATTAATATAAGTTATAATCATAAATGTTTTAGTTATATATGTTTAAATCATATGTGATTGATATATGTTATAATCACAAATGTTATGAACATTTACATTTTATATTATAACATAACATTTACATTTTATAGTATAGTGTTTTATATCATATATTATTAATATTTATTTTAATAATAAATGTTTATGCTGTTAATGACAGGTTCTGTTGTTTGACAATTTCTTTTACAAGAGACAATGTGAGTTCCTGTATAAATGAAGATCAAATTAGTACTTTTGTTGAAAGTGTTGAAGTTGTGGATGAAGATGTTGAACAATGAAGTCATCAAAACTAAATCTGCAGTTTTTTAGGTAAATATTAATTAATGATGTATTTAGAATTTAATCTGTTTTAATAATATTATGCGATTATTCAGTAATTTTTTTAGTAAATGTGATTAATATTTTATTAATCATATGTGATTATTCATTTTTTCATATTTTAATAAATATTTACATCTGTTTATTTTATTTATGTTTAATTTATTATTATAATCACATGTGATTATTCAAGGAATTCGTTATTAATCACATGTGATAGTCATTTGATTTTGTTAATAAATTTATCCTTAATCAGATGTGATTTTACATTTCGTACATTGATGTATATTCAATTTCATGTTATGTGATTATTCAGTAGTTCTTTATTAAATCTGTTTATTATTGTGTTAATCATATGTGATTGTCAGTTTATTATATTGTTAATCATATGTGATTTTCAGTTTATCTATGTTCAATTATCTGTTATAATCACATATGATTATATAAGGAACTCATTTTAAATCACATGTGATTATTCATTGATTCTATTGGTGAATGTTGTAGTTCTTCTAATGATGCAAATTCAATCAGTATATTGAGTACAAGTTGTGTATCAGATTTTTATATGTCAAAGCCTCTGCATGATATCAGACTAGATGTTCCTGAAGAGTTTACACTTACTAAGTCAATGACGTTCAAATATGCTGATGAGGGAGTTAATTTTTATAAAAGATATGCAGAGAAGGCTGGTTTTGATGTTCGTATGAACACATTAAGGGAAAAGGGTGATATAATAAAGCATAGGTATGTGGTTTGCAACAGGATGGGTAAACCAAAAATGAATTCAACGGAACGTAATACAATCTACAGGGTGACAAACTGTAAAGCTAAAATTGTTGTGAAAAATGTCAAAGGGACAGATGAGTATAGGTTTGACAAGTTTCAAGAAAATCACAACCACGACCTTGAAGATACATTTCACTTGAAAAGTACAAGGACTTTTTCATATTCTCACAAGGAGGTCATTATTTGGGCTTCTACAGTTAAAATGGGTGCTACAAAAGCTTACAAGCTGAAATCAACCTCGATAGGTGGTTTTCAGCATGTAAGGGCCAATGCTGTAGATTACAGAAATTTCAAGAGGGATATGTGATCTATTATTGGATTCAGATATGCACAACTTATCGTGAATAAGATGAATGATCGGAAAAACAAATATCCGAATTACTATTTTTTATTATAAATGCGATGAAAATAAGGTTTTGAATGCAATGTTTTGGGCCGATGAAACGGAGAAAGCATAATACAGTGAATTCGTGGCTGTCATGTCTTTTGATGCAACCTTTCGTACAAACAAGTAAGTTTTTCTTCTATATTTATGTTTTTAATTATATGTTATTGATGAATACACAATAAGTATGCTTATGTAATTATTTTTAAATCACATGTGATTTATCAATTGTCAACAAGTATACTAATGTGATTATGATTGTAATCATATGCGATTGGTAAATGATCAACATGTATTGTAATGTGGTTATTATTATAATCATATGTGATTGATTATTTATGAACAAGCATACTAATGTTATTATGTGTTATAATCACATGTGATTGATGATTATTATTTCTCAACAAGTATGATGATGTAATTATTTTTCTAATCACATGTGATTTATTAATTGTTAACAAGCATTTTGATTTGATTTTTTGTTTAATCATATGTGATTAATATCATTATTTTTAATTTATTTCTAAGTTCTAAATATGCTTAATTGTATTTTTGGTTATGTCGTTATATATGAAACAAGTATGCATTGGTTTTTGTTCCATTCATTGTTATTGATCATCATAAATCATCTATTACTTTTGGAGTTGGGTTGTTAAGCACCCAGGATGTGGATTCGTACAACTGGCTACTTGAACAAATTTTGAAGGCTCATTAAAAAAACAACCATTATTGGTTTTAACGGATTAAGATCCAACATTAAAGCAATATGTTGATTCGGTTTTTCTATCAGTCAAAGCATAGATTGTGCATGTGGCATATCAATAACAAACTGCCAAATAAGGTTTTTTTATATGTTTTCTTCTGTTAATCATATATGATTGAACATATTTGGATATATAAAAGATTTATAATCACATATGATATTAGTCATATATTAATTAAAGGTTAATACATTTAAGATTTGTAACATCCTGAAATTTCAGGCATCCTATTTAAGCAATTTATATTCATTATGGCAGAGCAACTCGACCAGTTGGGTGCCCAACTCGGCGAGTGGAGACGGTTTTGGCCATATGGGTTTAATGACCAACTCGACAAGTCAGAGAGCCGACTCGCTGAGTTGGTGCTGTGTGAAGAAACCCTAAATCTCCGGGTTTGTGTGCTATTTAAAGGGCCTTAAGCCTCATTTCCGCCTCCCTCATCACCCTTGAGCACTGTGAAGAACCCTAATCAAGTTTTAGCTTCTTTTGTGAGAAGGAGAGGCTATCTTGAGCATTTTGGTGCACCTTGAGAGAAGAAGAGGAAAACATTAAGGCTTGGAGCAAGGACGAACATTTAGATCTAGAGGTT